AGAGATTTACAATACATAGTAATACATCAACAGCCCTCAAAAGTGTTTCCCAAATTGATTTCAACCTTTTAAATCCTCTTTTTATCTTTGGCATAATTTAATGTTCCACAGTGGACTATAGCATCCCATGGAACACACTGGCTAATATATGACACATGTTACTCTCTCCCTATTTTTCAAAAATAAAAAGCAAGATTTAGCAGGTACTTTTCTTCAAATCCATGCTTTATTAAGAGGATGGCCCATAAAAGTTTACCAGCTAACCTAACTCTCTTTTTAAAAAGAAAACCACTCATATTTCATCCTATTATACTATTTTGCTTATAGTCTTCAAAGCTGTTTCTACTTATGTTTCCAAACTCATATGTTTTAAAAACCCTGTTTTGGATATTTCTGTGTGTTAATTAGTAGCATCTGCTCCTGTGTCATAAAACAAAGTGATCCCGTCCCACACTGATTGCCCAAATTGCAGGTTAAGTCCTGGCAGCCTAGCGGTGCAGCTATTACTACTGTTTGGTATTTTTAAATGGCAAAAAATACCGTTCATGATGCATCTCATGGTTTTCTAAAACACAGTCGCTTTTTGTAACAGAAGGATTTACAAATGGCAGTGGATTTTGTTGTATTTTAATGATATTTTCTTTCCAGTCCTTTGGTTTCCATTGGTTGTGGGCACAATGCTAACAGTTAAAGTAATAGTATTCCACAGAGTGAAGAGCATGCTCCTGACTGCTACATGCTGGGCTTTCCCCTCCTACAAAATAGGGTGATAGAACAACCAGCAAGTTCCGTTCTGACCAAAATGCCATTCTAAATCTGTCTCGAGGTAGAAGTGAGGAGATCATTTCTTTCGCTTTCTGTGCTACATGTGTCTGGCAAAGAGTGGGAAAGTCTTGATTTGTTATAAGAATTAAAGGGATGATAGCCATCGTACTGTGTATAGTTCAAGAGCTTTTTTTATGTTTTGGCCTTGCCAGTTCCTACTTAAAAACTTAATATTGTTTAAATCCTTAGTGACTTTCTATTGCAACTTTGCTGCTGCTTCTGCTTATAACTGTTCAGAAAATTATCACAGAAATGCTTATAAAATTTTCCCTTATCACTTAAAAAATTCAAGGAGAAATTTCTGTGGCTGTCTTCTTCAATATCTTGTTTTTTTAAAAAACCATTGAGTAATTTTAGGGAGAACTCTTTACATGTGCCAAAGGACACTCAGCCTTGTAGGAATACCTATTGGAGCATTTGCAGACTGCACTGGAGATTCTCTCAGAGTTAAATTAGCCAGATTAACCAGCCTGAAATTAAAGAACCAGGCTTTTACTCTTCACACAGCAAGAGACCACCTTCCCATCTTTTTTTTTTAAAATATATTTTGTATTGATTTCAGAGAGGAAGGGAGTGGGAGGGAGAAATAGAAACACAATGATTAGAGAGAATCATGGATTGGCTGCCTCCTGCATGCCCCACGCTGGGGATTGAACCCACAACCCAAGCATGTGCCCTTGACCCAGAATCGAACTGTGACCTCCTGGTTCATAGGTCGACGCTCAATCACTGGAGCCATGCAGGTCAAGCTCCTTTCCAACTTTTGTGACAACTGGATATAGATGGTGGTATTTTTGGGAAATCAAAAATAGAAGAATTGTAGAGCTCTGTGGCTGGTTAAGAAGTGGGGAGAAGATGCACATGGACCATTGTTCGGATAAACTAGCGAAGGGAGCACTTTCTGCAGCAAAAGCTTGTTTATACAGTGACTCTCAGTGTTCAGACTCAGTCTCTGTAATGCTCCAGGTCCCCGATTACATTTCTTTTCTCCTCTCTAGACGTTTGGTCTTATCTCTATTTATAACTTCACCTGGCAAACAGGAATGGGAGGGCAAAGGAGAGGAAAGGCAAGCAGTTTGTTTGGTTGGTGATTAGCAGACTACTGAAAAGTTTGCTGAAGAAGGGAAGTGTATTAAACCTCTGCTTAAAATGAGGTGTGCAGAATTTTCAGTGGCTTTCTTTAGTTTAAAATCGTCTCATTCTTGTGGGACTATGTGTAATTGAGGGTCAGCTATAAATCACAAAATAAATCACTTCCAACTCCTTCACCTCGACAGGGATAAGAATGGAAAATCTTGTCATTGAGACGGTCCTTTTTTCTCCCTTTCTCCTCTACAAATAGTATAAGCCTCTGGGCATCAGACTTTGGCAGCCAGTGGAGGGCCCTGAGCTAATAATGGAGCTGTTCTGCTTCTCCAAGTTAGATTTTGCTCTACTTGGTGAAAAGAATATCATCCCAAAATGAATTTCTTTCTTTAGGGCAAAAACAAAACAGAAAAAGAGAGAGAGAGAGTTTTCGATACCATGAAAAAGTGTTGTGCTTCTGGTAAACTTTTCCAACCAACACCACATTCCATTCTGTTCAACAACATTATGTCCAGTAAGAGTCAATGGGCATGAGCGATTAAACCCAGAGTCTACTCAAGGCACAAATTAACTTGCTGTGTGACTTTAAGAGGTCCATCAGCCTCTCTGGGCCAGCAGCTTTATTTGCAGAAGAATTTTGAACTAGATGACAAAGACCCTTCCTTAGAATACCAAGATACAGACCTGGTAACATATAGGAGAAAGGCAACAATTTATTTTTAGTAAAACAAGATCGATAGCAGCCAGTAACTGGCAGTGGGCTTGCTTAAAATCCTCCTCTTCTCTCCAAATTCTGTTTTTACCAAAACTGTAACTAAAGACAGTTTTTCATGCTTTGAACTTCCTGGCTTATGTTGATTCGTATCAATATGTTACTTTTACACTTTTGAGTGGGAGCTGATTACATTTCATGGAAAGTGCTCAGAAAAGGAATACAATCGTTACAACCCCACATTCAGTGAGAATTGATAGAATCGAGACAAGAAAAAAAAAGACTGTCCTTGTCAGGCAGTCACTCCTCCAGCTGGACTGAAAATATAATCGTCTTATTCTCCACTCACTTGTTTAAACATTAACCAAGAGCAGCTTTCTCCTCCTCCTCCAAAGTTTTTAGTGTCTCCATGAACTTAACCACAGTTATATACAACCCCCCAAAGTCCTTTTCAAACATGTCGCGTATTCTGTAAAGCAGTAGCTTCAGCAGTCTTTCAAGGAACTGATTTTGCATACAGCAGCCTAGAGAGGCATAAAAGTATACCAGCTCTACAGCTAGGTTGTTTGATGATGAGGTCTTGGTGATTGCCTAGGGACCTCTGGAAATGCATAGAGTGTAGACTTATGGTAGGAAGCAATCAGGTAGTTAGAGAACTGGGGGACAGCCAATGGACTTTCAGAATAGCTGAGGAAGAGCTCACCAAAGGCTGAAAAAGGATGCAAACATCTTTTGAAGACTGTTTCCAAGAGCTCAAATGGGCATTGTCAAAAAACAAACAGTGGGGTGGATTTGGCTAAGCATCTGGAGCTAGAACAACGCCCTGTGACAAGTGAGCGTTTTTAAAACTCTCAGGCAGAAGCGAACTTTTCAGAGCGACCTTGTCACACACAGTTCGAAGGCGTAGGCTTTGCCAGCTGCTCTGAGTGGGGTGAAGAGGCATGCATATTTTAACTGTTCATTTCATATTCAGTGTGTTAAGTAAATGCTGCTTTCCAACTTGGGTGGAGAAGGTCTTTATCAAGATTTATCAAGAGTCAGAATAAAAACACTAATTTCTTGTTTGCAATGGAACATTTCTTCTCTTTTATACTTTATTTGTTTTGTTCAATCCCATTAGCCCTTTATTTAAAAATATTCATAGTTGTTCACTCAGTCTGAGTTTAATGGGCAGAATCAGGTGGATTTTAATTTAAAACAAAACTCTCTCCACTTTCTACTCTTGAGAAACTGCATTTCAGTATCTTTAATTATTTAAACATAAGAAATCCTTCTTTATTCACTTATTTCAATTAATAAACTTGAAATTTGCAGGCACATTCCCACTGGTGTATATTATAATTTTTAGTACCTACCCAGAGAGCAGGAGTCTGCTTTGTTTCTTCTTTTCTGCACCCCGTGCCCCATCCAGTATTTTAGGTACCATATGTAGATCAGTTGCACGATGGCTTCATTCTGGTAATTAATATGCTTGTTCGAGGTTATAAAATATACATATGACAAAAGCCAGGGATTTCCCCCTGAATATCAACTGACTGCTTCAAGTGACATTCTCATTCTGAGTTGGTGTTTTGTTTTGTCTTACTGCAGCATATTGGAGCAAAATGAGAGAGTTTATTTTGAGACCTCCAAATTAGTGCTGCTACGGACCATGAGCAAGAGAGAAAGCGTGGACTTCAGCCTGCACGAATGGTCTTGAAACACAAGTGGTTTTGGGTAAGTCATCCGAAAGACTTGGCCTTAAATTTCATCAGTCACCATTTATTTGGTGTCCCAGGACATCTTATTCAAGTGCATGGCTATTTCTCTACAGCCCAAGCCACAGGATGTTTGTGAAAGCTTTGTTCTATTGAAGGAAAGTGATGAAATTTACTTAGTTGTGTTTGTTTCTCCTATGTGCAGAATAATAGGATCTGAGTAGAATGCATTTGTCATTAGAAAAAGATGGGAGGGAGGGTAAATTGTGATTTGCGGGTGTACACACACACACACACACACACACACACCCCAAACTACATTTCCAGATACTTCATTTTAGCTGAGAGCATAAGGCAGTGGTTCCCAATGTGGGGCACATTCCCCATGGGGTGGGCACTTCATATTATTATTTTTAAAAACGATTTCTTAGTGATTTCTTCTTCAGAACTTCAACTGTCCTTTCGTTCTTTTATTTTTCTCTTTCATGGATGCCATGTTCTTTGGACGCTTGTTTAGACCAAATTAATGACCTTTTAGGCGTCCTTCACGTGAATAGGAGTTCACTTTTTGAATAATAAGAATTATATGTCACAGAGGGAGCATCAGGTCTTTAGAGATGCTTAGGTGGGGCATGGCCAAAAAAGGTTGAGAAGCACTGGCATAAGGTATTCATCATACAAGAGACCTCAGGTTCAATTTGGTAGCAAGTTTGTGACCCTGTAATGAAGTGCTGGGATGGGCAAAGATGAGAAGCATTGGGAGTTTCCAAGTCCTGTTCAATGAATGTTTATGAGCACCTTTTAACTAAACACGGTACCCTGAATGACAGTCTTGGTTTGGAGTGAAGTTTAAACACTCTGAACTATAAATAAACAATTTCAAACCACATACCAAAATAATGTGGACTTCCAAGAAAGCTTTGTCAGCCTAGCTCATTGTATTTTTTGGAAACGGAGTCCCTAGGTGGAAGCCCAATTCTGCCCACCAATTTTGGTGACCTCGGACAACTAACTCATCCTCTTGGAGTGAGTCACCTTAAAAACAGGAGGACATGCCTCCGGGATCACCACAGTCTTACGCAAATTTAAAATTCAACAGTCCCCCCCAGTGAAGTTAGTTAAATGATTATACTGCTTGATTGGTAGTTGCTCAACAGAATTTACTGTGTACCCCTAGTGCCGTGGTCGGCAAATCGCGGCTCGCGAGCCGTATGCGGCTCTTTGGCCCCTTCAGTGTGGCTCTTCCACAAAATACCACATGCGGGCATGCACGTACAGTGCGATTGAAACTTCGTGGCCCATGTGCAGAAGTCGGTATTTTGTGGAAGAGTCGGTATTTTGTGGAAGAGCCACACTCAAGGGGCCAAAGAGCCACATGTGGCTCGCGAGCCACGGTTTGCCGAGCTGAAGTTTGCCGACCACTGCCCTAGTGGGTCCTCTCTGCAGAGGGGCTCTAAGATCAACCCATGTGGAGGAAAGGGTCAGGGGTGGGCCCCCCTGCCTTTGGCTCCGATCTTGTGAGCCAGCCCTTTGGTCAAGCAGGCCTTGCACGGACTGTGGTTAATAATTTTTCCTTGCAGCACAGTGTTAAATGAATATAATATTTGAATACATGAGATAGGCTTGTGTTGAATGACTGTCCCTTCTGGTTGGGGATCTGTTTCCTTCTGTGTTTGCTTTCACCGTGTTATGGGTGACATGCCAGTCCTTGCACCTCGTAGAGCCCCAAACCTTGAGCCATAGAGCCCCAACCCTTGTTTTACATTGATGGCTCAGTTGTCACTTGTTAGCAAGTGGCTGTCTGCCTCAGGGCGGTACATTATTTGGGTTTCATAACGGCATTTTTTTCTCTTACATACGTTAAATTATGAAGTGCAGGAAACCACATGAATGCGACAGAATAAAATGCAAACTGTGTCATCTGGAAATGCCAGTTTTATGATTCTCCTGGTGACACTGCCCTCCCTGCAATCAACATCGGAAGCTTCTCTACCTGTTCAGCAGTGTCTTCTATCCCAGGCCAGCTTCATTTAGGCCGCAGTGTAGCCACCGTGGCAGGCTGAATCAGAAGGTTTGCTTAAGATGATTGCATGGGGCTGTCCCTCTCCAAGTTCTGCCTGACCACTAAGCCCGACTCTTGTTCATAGAGTCTTTCCTGAATGCTCACAGCTTCACTGCCCACCCTTCGTTGTGAACTCCTAGATCATGGAGAGCTCGAATCATAAAAGAATGTGTGTTAAATAAGGAAAGAGGTTGTGATGTATTGGCTTTATGTCCATTTTTGTTCTTATATCGAAAGAAACTCCATTACTTTTGAAGTTTGGAAAATTAGTACATTTAGGTATACTAATTGAGAATATTCATTCTTGTATACATAAAATTATAGCATTAAAACTGAATCAGTTTATATGGTATTGACATTAAAACACTAAGTATTGTTAATCTCTATGAGATCCATTTCTGTGTCAGAAATATTTGTAATTAATAATATATTTTTGGCTGAAAATTAAAAAAAAAAAAAGAATGTGTGGCTCTGCCTTGCTCTTGGGTGGTTGTCATCACTCCATCCGGTTGCAGACTGCTTGAGGGCAGGAGTCAGATCGTAGCCCAGTGTTTCTCCAAAGCAGTCCAGCTCCAGGGCCTCCTGATAGAATCACCTGGCTGTGTGTATTAAAGTTGCAGATTCAGCAGCACCAGGCTTGAGGAGTCAGAATTGCTGGAGATATTGAGCCCAAGAAACTCACCGCGGATATCTCTCCTGCACACTGAGGTTTGCTAACGGCTGAGTCTGCTTCTTCACCCTCTTCTTTGCCTTCTCACCAGCAGCATTGGGCCCAGGTCTCAGCTCATCGTAGCTGCCCAGGAATATTTGCTTGTTGATCTGAGCATCATCAAACCATGATGGTTGCATTCACTCTTTCATGGCCTCGCCTTTCAGGATGTGGAATCAGCATATTCTCTGAACCCTTAAAACCCCCAGTTTATCTACATGTGTAGTGTTCCCCCCCAGGCCCAGGGCTCTTTTATGTCCCTTTCTCTTCAACCTCTGACCCTGGCTGTCCTTAGTAATAGTGTTACCCCCTGCCTGCGGCGATACAGCAGGAAAAGCAGATCCAGGGAGTTCATCTGGAGTGAGGGGGTAGCAGAGACCTGAGGATGACGGTGCTGTGGTACCCAGAAGCCTTATCCTTGGCTCCCAAAGCCACACTTGCTGCCCTTGGCAGGTTATTTTGAATGAGATTTCTTTCAGCTGTTAGGGCTCGCCAGTGGTAAGCTTTGGTGGCCAGAGAGCAATCCCATTGCTGAAAGGGATAAAGTTAAGCTGCAGTGGACACACATCAAAGCGCCCATGGTGGCAGCAGCCGATTCAGGATTCAAATCGATGTTAGCAGACTGCGGGGGCGTCTCTTGGCCCCAGCAAGGGCAAGCCTGGCCTTGGGTGATGCTAAATAGATTTGCAGGGTGTCCTTGCTCTGAATGCCCTTGCTGGTGGCTGCAGCCCTCGTAGTAGATATGACAGTTCAAGTGGAAAACCAAACAGAAGAACTCAGAAGCCCAGCCAGCCTATAAAGGAACAAGTGGGGGTAATCTGGAAATTTAACAGCTGTTAAGGTAACCACAACCCAGTGCATTCAGTCATTTTCTGCAACTTTTCTTTGGCTCTTGCCACTTCATAGTTTTCCTTAGAGAGGCCGTGCGGATCCTGAACTGAGTGTGTGTTAAAAGGCGCACTCATGCACAGTGACTGTAATGCATCCTCTTCTGGGTCTGCACCAGTTTTGACGATGGGAGACAGCGGAAAGGTGTAACCCAGTGGATCTGGAACTGGCTTTTTCTCATGTTCTCAGCGAAGGGAAGGAAAAATAGCAGGTTCCCAAAGCAGTGTTAAAGGCAAAAGAGGCTTTTTAATATGTGCTTTATGGAGACCTGGCTAGATTTTCCTCTGCACAGCTTCCTCCAGCTGGGTGGTGGGGAGAGGGCCGCTTTTGTGACGCAGGAGGCGGATGCACAGTCTGTCGGCTATGGAAGGGAGATGTACAGTTGTTGATGTATGTGTCTTTGAGCCTTTGTTGGAGGCTTCCAGGTAGAGGAGTAACGAGGAACAAAATTAAAGAAGTGATAAAGCACATGATTTTAGCAGAATACCAGATGCTGGCTGGAATTGCTGTTTGGAGGCCTTTATCCACGCATGGGATATTTCCTTAGCAGTAGCCATCTGCACTTGGCAAAGAGAAGAATTGGTTCTAAAGAGCATTTGCCTGGTGAGAAACTCTGTCACTTGTCCTGCTGACCATGACACCCCCTTGAGCACTGCAGGATTTCCAATGGTCACCTAAACCCGGGGAGCTGCTTTCGCAAGGCAGGTACAAGTAATTAAAGAGCCAGGCCTGTGTCTTCCCGGAAGACCATCCTTAGAAAGCTCTTTAATGCTTTCCAGCTTAGGGGAGTCAGATACCCATCACGTACCTGAGCCTGCGTTCCGTAGGGCATACCCAGCATACGCCTTCTGTGAAATGTGCCATAACTCACTCTTCTTGCTGATGCTATCACGAGCTAATTGCATCAGTCCTTCAGAGGAGCCCTGTGGTTTGGTCTAACTGTGAGTAAAACCACACCGCTTCAGGAAATGCAGTGCATTGTCTTACAAGAGGCATCATCAAAACAGATGTTGATTTACTTGGAAGATACCTTTCCTTGGTGACAGTTTGAGAGCTTTGAAGGGAGGTGTTTGATGTGCATCAAAATAAGTTAGAATTAAACTGCCACGCTGGCACACTGTTGGAGTGAAAACTGAAAGAAACTCACCAGTGTTTGCTCCCGAACACACTCTCCCCTAAGGCATCATCATGCCATGACATCATTGTCAACTGCTCTGCCTACGATCATGGCTCTCTCTTTCTCTTCTGAGTTAAGATCATTGGTTTCCAACTTCCTCCAAATGCCTTCAATTGGATGTCATATAGGTGCCTCCAACGTGAGGCTAAACCTACACTGTCCCTTTCCCGGTTCCTTGTTTAG